AGTGAGGCCTGGCCTCGGTCTTTATTGAATAATTTATGTTTTACATTTGTAGAATGAATTACATGAATTACTACAGGTTGTGTCCCCTTTAATGCATGAATTTTTGAATTATTTTGTTTATTGTAAAGTGGATCGTGACCAAAAGATCGTGACGCAACGTAATACGATCGATGATCGTACCCCGTACCACGATCGATGAATGCATTCGTGATCGAAATTGGATGAAACATGCATTTTCGTCCCCAACAACTTTTGAACTCTACAATCGCAAGACCAACACATTTACCAAATCGGGCGTGGATCAAATTCACGACAATGAGATTTCAGAATGGTGACATGATGAACAATTGGGTAGTAGGAATTGGTGGGAAAATTTAGTGAATAGAGTATAACCGTTAGTAAAATATTAGATATACGAATGTATAAAGTGACAAGTCAATGTAATACTCTACCTTTCTTTAGTAGTGCCCGGGAAGGCTAAAGATCATAGTAAAGAAATGTCTATAAATAATAAAATAGTTAGTGTAGTGTTGAAGAATAAACAATAAAGTAATTAGTAAAAATATACCGCCAAATCGTAAAGCCTCTAATAGAGAAAGCCATAATCCAATATTTACCTTTGTCAATATGATGGCACCTATTTCCCTAAATCGTAGTACTTATTACTATGACTTTTATTTTTTTATTCTTTATTTTTATTAAAATTTTAATGATTTTTACCTTTTTATAAATAGTAGGTACATATACCGAAAATACAGTATATCTGGCTAATTGATTCTTAATACTTTATTGTTCACCACAATATCTATTTAATGATTTACATTTTTCGCAAAGGTCTTGCCTATGACCCTTCAATTTTTTTTCACTATGTTCACCGGTAAATTGAGTAAATTTTCTTCTATAAAAACTATAAATCAATATTTGTTTAACTCTTTCTTTAAGAAATTGATTCAATAATTCTTTCTTATCAAATCGAGCAACTTTACCACATTTTTTACAATCCAAATGATATTGTTTCACTAAGTCTATCTGTTTCTCTTTTACTTTTAAGTCAGCATTACATAAGGAGGAAGAAAATTTATGTCCACATTGACAAGATAGATGCCAATAAAATTTAATGCCTATCTTACGACCATTTCCTGAGGCTAAAATTTCAGGCATATTCACCTCTTCAATTTGGTGAGAATCCTTTAAGTGATTAAGAAATTCCGTAAAGGATTGAAATTCTTGTCTGCATTTACAAAAAAATTTGTAATGCACGTAATTACTTTGGGATGACATTTTCTTCTTTGGAATGTTCGGTAAGTAAGAACTGTTGAGACCTTTTTCTTGGAGAACAGGGACCTTTTTATTGAAAAACAGGATAGTTGCTATTCTCCTCTTTGGATCGCTAGGAAGTATTGGAATTCTTCTGTTTAGGAAGAATGGAACAAGGTGTTTTAAAATACCAAACACTGTCATATTTCTTTGTGATTGTATTTAGGATAGTAAACAATCATCCGCATTTGTTTCCCTACAGTTATAATGTCATGTGAGATTCTTTATGCCTTAAATATATCAGTATCGACAACGTAATACGTATGCACAAGGGAAAATATTTATTGTGACCAAAAAAGGAAACTTAACGCAAAAAATAAATCAAGTTCATGAAATTAGGAATTTGGGTTGGACGTTAAAATTAGTGATAGGAGCAAATAATCATTGTATGTAAAATCTAATTTCCATCATTTTTAATTAGTATTTCAAGACAGGTTTAAACACTTGTTTTCTTGTATTTTCGCTCTTGTTTCTTTTTTTTTTCCCCTATTTTTCTTCACCTTGCTCACATGTCTGGTTAAATACCATTTTTGGGGTTGTGTGATCACATAATAACAATAATTACTCACATGCACGTATCAGTACGTACGTACGTATTAGAAAAAACATGATACAAACATAAGTTGTTATTGTTGCTTAATAAGGAAAGTTTGATAATTTATCTGACATAGTATAATAATATATAGCTAACGTTAACATTATGCTACATTTTTTCATCTATTGTAACGAATTGTAAATTTGGTTTCTAAATATTTGTAAATAAAACCTTTATTTTTTTTTATTTTCTCAATAAGTTATCCGAATGTACATAGTATATTTGTATTAATGCCCCATCCATTTTGGTAACAATGTCCAATTTTGGTAAAACTATTATGTTTCGTGATAATTTATTACTTATACCAAAATAGAAATAGATTGTGGCTTAGTGTTTAGCACATTTGAAAGTATACACCCACCAAATTTATCGTGAATACAATTTTGTTGATCCCTGCGCCTTGAGCGTATACGCTCAAATCCAGGTGTATACATCCAAGAAATCGCATATACATTCAAATTAAAGTGTATTCGCTCAAATTTGAGCGTAAACGTCTTATAAGATAAAAAAATGTATATAAGTACTTCGAGTTCAATAATGAAAGGACTGTTTTTCTCGTTACCAATAAATGGGTGTCGCCAAGCAAAAACCAGCAATTTCGATTTTTGCCGGCTCCGCTTTCTGATCCGATTCCTGATAAATTTAAATTAAGCACAACATAAATTATATGGTGTGTTAAATCACATTTTCGGGTTTGATCTGTAAAATTAATTCGGAAAACTCACAATTCCCTGTTTTCGCTTGTCGACACTCAAATAATAACTCGAGACTCAATTCGACGGACTGAATTGACTTGTAATTTAAATTCGGCTTATTAAGACTCGAATTTAATATTGCCATTTACGTTAGTGACTTGCGGAATTGTGGTAGAGAACGACTCTTATGAGCAATTCTTGAATGTGTGCCAGGTTGGTGGCGTACAAGCCACAGTAGTACCGATCAGTCCGATCACTATCTCCGGT